GCGCTCACAATGTAAGGCCGCACGGGTGTATCACGAGATGCGCGAAGTAATGCGCCTCCGCAGAACCGATTGAATAATATCAACAACATTGGCACATCCTACTATATATAAACGGCAACGTCTGTCTGTCTGTCTGTAAGTCTGTCTGTCTGTGTCTGTCTGTCCGGAAATTCGGAATCACCTGAAGAGCCAGTTGGAGGGGGCGGGTCAAGGGTGGGTTGGGTAGGGCATGGGCCAAGATGTACGGAACACACATGAACCAAGCTAAGCCCCGCCCACTGTGGGCGGGGCGTGCGCACATTGTGAGCTACATTTTTCAAAAATTCGTAGTTCGGTTCCAAAAGAGCCCCGAGAGTGGAAAAAGTGGCAAACGATAGGCAATCAGTTGGCGGACGAAATGAGTGAGACAAACCCATTCTGGGCGGGGCGTTCTATAGGTGGGCGGTGCTTGGTACGAAAATTTCAAAAATTCGTAGTTCGGTTCCAAAAGAGCCCCGAGAGTGGAAAAAGTGGCAAACGATAGGCAATCAGTTGGAGGACGAAATTGATGAAGCAAGCAACAAGAAATTTTCTTACTTACTGCAGCTGTTATAGCTATTTCACTTCACTATGCTATTGCTTCGCCTTCTGTGTTTTTCTCCATTATTTGTGTTCTGTATTTTTTTTTCTTTTTGTGTTATGACCGTACCTGATGGTTTCAAAAAGCGTCGACGCACCTAATGCACCACTACTTCCAGATGAGCGACGCTATTTATAAGATTTTGAGGGATTTACATCCGTCTAATTTACGTTATCTTTTCTATATGGTAACGCCGAATGAGACCATTCATACGCGGCTGGAGGACATACCGAATTATTTAGTTGATCCGGTAAGTAATAAAGAGGGGAACTCTCTGCATCCGCGAAGCCTTTACGAGTGCTGATAAGAAGGGTCTGGGGCATGGTGGCCACACAGAAAGAGATCCAAGCAATGGACTCCTATCTCTGCGGCCTTTTTGTTATTCCTTCTCTCGTAATAGATTGATAAAGTCAACTCCTTTCTACTGACCGTTCACCTCCCCCCCACCCCTTCCTCTCTCCCAGTGAACAAAATACGATTGTGCAACTATTTCGCCGAAGGCTTTTAAGTATGAATTCCAGATTTCGACATGGACGTTCGTGTTGGTTTTCTTGGAGTTGCTGATACTCGATGAGAAGACGTATGCGTTTAACGACCACGTCACGTCTATAAATTCCGGAATGATGTATATCCTCTTAAAGTGAATTTATTTCTGAATATTTTCTGGACATCACGATAACTCGCGAAGCTGTCATTGTTGAGCTGCGGGATCCATACACTGATGCTTCTGTGCCTACCATCCACTGACTGTCGTGGTTGTCCAGCTCCAAATTCGGTTTCTATAGATTTTCAGTGATTCGCTGTCGTCTGCGCCTCGCGATCTCTTCAGACAAATCTCAATATAGAAGAGTCCAAGCGCCACGCGCACGGTGTAGCGGGGAAGTTACAGATGGAAGCCGGTACAGCTTACGCTCCTGTCTGCTCAAACCGGAAATATTCTCCCCATCTCCGAGATATTAAAATATATGTCTGGCTAATGTACACAGTTATGAATAGGAGATACATACAGCACTTTATAGCTGATAACGTAGCAGTCAATCGGGGATAAGTCAGGATGGGCGGACTGAGCCACGACTGTCTTGCTCTGCCAGTAGCAATCGGCTATTGATCGGTTAGTGATCGATTGAGAAGGAAAAGAGAAAACGGTGGAAAAGCCGCGGTGGACCAATTCTATCCCTCCAAGACCTCCGTGACTGATCGCTTTCGATATTGAATTGTGGTGTACTTGTGTTTTTTGTTGCATGACCGGGTTTTCTCTCGGCATCCGGCAGGGTACTCCTTCACCTTTAAACAAAAGCATACACACATGCACGTTCGCATGTACACTCCTTAACCCGAGGCCAGAGTAGGCGTGGCATTCGAATAGGGCACGGAATTGGTTATTCGTTTAAAGGCAGTTGGCACGATGGTTTCCTACTTAGCCTAAAATGCTAGTAGGGCGCTGTATAGTGGGGAAATGGCGAAAGAACGGAGTGAAACGGTCAAAATCCGGCGAAGAAAAAGCCTCCGTTCTCAGTGACTTGTAAATCGATTTCGGACGAGTTTCCCGTACGCATCTTGCCAATCACCGCTACCGAAGATACGGCTGCATATGTGTACCCATATATGCATGCAGCATCACGGCCGCTTCATACCAATCCCTTTGCTTCATAATTTGCTCAGCAAATGAATGAATACGAGCGTCAGAAACGGTCGTCCGTTTGTGGGCGGGCGGGCAAGGAAGGCGTTTGGGACGTAAAGTTGTTGCTCAATAGGGCGTTATAGAGGTACCCTCCTTGGAAAAGGCTTCACGCAGCGCCTGTCCGAGGTCACGGAATTCTGTTAAGCCAGTTGTACAAATCCTACACCTGTATAGCGATTTATCGTGCCAACTGCCTTTAAATACCAGTCTTGGACAACTGTCATCTTGTTCTGTGTTGGACAGAGACACGACAACAATTGTGTCGAGATGAAAATATCTCACCAGAAGCATAGACACCTGCAGGATAAGTTGAAACATGCAGCCACGCCTACCCGATCTCAGGGATTTCGAGTATACGCAAGCGCGCTCGTATGTACGCTTATACCAAGGGGAGATACTATCACCACCATTACATGAAGTAAGGTTGATACTGCGATGCCAATTTATTTTTGTTTTTCCCTGCAGAGATTATCTTCCACGATTTCCTTGCTATACTCCGTGGCTTTTGCGGACATACATACATGCATGCATGCATACAAACCGTCACAAAAAGTCAGTGTTTTATAGACAAGAGTGATTACTCTCTTCAAGTTCTAATTTAGAATCGGTGGTCGTGACATATCGGCTTGGATCTATCCGATAGTGTACGATCGAGTGCATATCATAGATCTGCCTAACGATTCGGCCTTAACATGGATACTGTGCTTTTTCACGCAAGATTTCATGCTTTACATCGCTCATCGAGCTATACATGGTAAGTGCGCAGTAAGGGAAGTAAAGTGTGAAACCAAAATGTTGCCTTCATGGGTAGCACTAGTTACACCACAAGTCCAATTTGGCTTCTGTTCTTGAGAGATTTTCATGTTGAATTTTGCGAAAGACCACTGATGAAGAAGTAGGTGATAGTGGGATCGATAATTTTTATGCGACCAAACATGCCCACGAGAACAACACTCCGTGAGTAATCTGTGATAACTGTAACCTTCAGTCAACAGTAAACCGCCATTTCATCCTGAATAGGTAATGGAATCTGTCATATAGCAGTTTACAGTAATACCCTAAACCTCAGATGGGAGTTCAATCGCCGCTCTTGCTATTGCTAACATACGTGTAACGTGCTTTATGCCATATCTGCAAAAGATCGCCATTTCAGAAGTCAGTTTCTTATGGTGGTTTCATAAAATGCACCATTCTTCTGAGTATTTCAATCTCAGCACTGGTTTACGAACACCAGCACTTCAGGTTTGTTGTAATTGTTTGAAAAAACACTTGTTTGTATGCTGCCGTCCACATGACTGTTGTGAACAATGAGGAATATGGGTTTCAAGGAGCTACAGTGCCGAGCAGGGCGATAAGACTTCCTCAGAGATCAGCAACAATCTTCTCTGATTGCTTAAACATCCGTAGGCTGTTCATCACAGCTCCCGGGAGATGAGAGGCAATTGGTGTGTTGCAACGTGGAATCATGGACTCAAGTTATTCAAGGGGAGTTTTAGACCGTGAAACCGCGCCCTGCAGACAGAATACAAAGGCAGGTATCACAATTATGGAGGGGTGATGATCATTCATTTTCCAAGTCCAATACTGAAACTCAATGCATCATGATTTATCTTTAGGTGAGACCAATCTGGAAGTATAAGCTGTTACCAGCGTGGGTTACCACGATAACTCAGCCCACATGACCCAATTTTTGACAGATCTTCTAGGGAAGCTGCCTGACTCATTCTCCTGAAATACTCGAGGGAGTCTCCAAAATGAGAGCACATACGATTGTGGGTCCAAATAAGAGCGAACAGCTCGGCGCTTCTGATGCAAGAGAACTTCTTAAAGGCAGAGGTGATGGTTGGAAGCAAGCGGTCCTAAGAGTGTTGAAGGGCTGAATGAGGTGTGGACGAGTGAGGTGCGGACAAATGCTCTCTTATAGCCCCTCTGCTAAGGGCGCTGACAGCAACCGTCCATCCAAAGCCATCGTGCCCTGCCTTCAGTAAAACATTCCTATTTCGATTACTTTTTCACTAATAGAAGGCTGATTCAACTTGATTTTAGGATGTCGCCCATATGTTTCCTGAACTGTTGCAAGCTTTCTTTATCCCTCCCAACATATACATAGTTCACCGGGCTTTGAACCTTACCTATCAGTTCTGGATCCATACAAACTGTGAGTTCGATATTATAACACATTTTTGTGCTTTTGTTATAATCTCACTTTCGCTTCTATTATAATTCAATTCCGTTATGTGCAGCGATTCACACTGCTAAGCTGTGGAAGGGAGCGATTCTTCCACAAGCCTTTCACGTCATGCGCTCATGCCGCGATCAGTGGCTGGCCAATTCAGAGCTTCTTCGCTCTGATCCTCCATTTAACAGTATTGACTAGGCTACTATCCTACTATATATAATCCGCTAAGTATGTCTGTAAGTGTGTGTGTGTGTGTGTGTGTGTGTTTGTGTGTGCGTCTGTCTGTCTGTCACGAAATTCATAGCGAGCGTCGCAGAAAAGATAGGATGACAGTTCCAAGAAGTGATATACATGGCAGGACGGGAACACTTTTGGTGGGTGATAGAATGTGATAGCACCTGATAAGATTCGATAAGGGGCCTTAGAAGGGGAGGGTGACCGAGCCCATAGTGCGGGACACAGTAACAGTGGGACATTGGTTCCAAGGTATGATATAGGACGTGGGACAGGAACATTATTGATGGGTGACAGGGAATGATAGCAGCTGATAAGATTCGATAAGGGGCGTCAGAAGGGGAGGGTGACCGAGTCCATAGTGCGGGACACAGTAACAGTGGGACATTGGTTCCAAGGTATGATATAGGACGTGAGACAGGAACATTATTGATGGGTGACAGGGAATGATAGCAGCTGATAGGATTTGATAAGAATGGTAAGGTCACCATACTCATAACGCGGAACACAGCATCAGCTAGGCATTAATTTCAGAAAATGATATAGGGTTGGAGATGGGGACACGGCAGCCTACTATTGAAAGGTTCCGTTACAATTACGGAACGCGCTTAGCAAAGCCAGGCCAGCTCGGCGAAGCCGAGCTAAAGAGAAGGAGGAGAGCTCGGCGTCAGTCGGGCGATCCGACTGGTAAAATCATAAGCTACATCGCACATATTGTAAACGGTGTATTCTCCACATGAATTCGATCGAGCTGTCAGACAGGACAACTCGTACGCAGCGACTTCTATATTGCCAACCACGCTCAGTGACGCCGCGGTCTAGCAGCGTCCCACTTTTGAATCGTCACAAACTCAATGCTGTTCTGCACTATTTTATGAAGCTTGCAAATGCCGTTTAGCTGACCCTTCTCATCCTACTCCTGTAAATGTCCAGTTGAATGAACACTTTGAAAGATAACGTTTCGGGAGGATATAAGATATCAAGGTATAGTGACACTATAGGAGGGGTCTGAGAGTGAAGTTCATACATTCTTTTATGTCTACAATTTCACTGCAGGAGTCAATCAAAGTCACAGTTTGTGAACACCACGACATGCGGAATATCTTGCAAGCAAGGGACGGTTCGGAAACGCAGAGGATGGGCACCTTTACGGATCGAAGGTCTCTGACATAAACTCGCCCCGGATGTCAATCTGCACTTTAATCGTTTCATAACGCTTTTTGGTGGTGCGACCTCACTCGCTTGCGTTATAGCTTCTATGCCATGACCGAGAGTTTTTCAAAACTTTTCTCATTGCTCATCGTGATGGCAGTTGGGCTTTTTGACAAGAACATGATGGTTCCACTCATATGGTTTGATATTTTGAAGAATCTCACTTCAGACAGTACCTTCCCTTGGTCCTCTTGAATACTTCTTGAACACTCCGTCCAACCACCGAGTGCACCATGGCAGGAATCCTTACTGCATCGATAGGAACTATGGCTGCACCTTGATTATATGGGACAGGTGAGATGACTCTTACACTTTGGTTGATTGAATGATATCTCGCCTAAGCAAAGCATCACTTGAAAGCGGAAAATGAACCAGTTGCACCGAAGACACCGCAACTTGGTAATAACAAGAAACGTAATGCAATATTGTAATAAGATTTCATGTAAAAATGAATAAAAGAAAGTAGAACAAGGTGAAAACTGAGTAAACTGAGCAGTAAAGGCTAAAAAGTGGAACAAAAATGGTTTATAAAAGTGGGAGTTGGGTCATAAGTTGCTTAAAGGCAAAGCCCGCGATCAGATATTCTGGGTGATGGTACTGAACTAGCGATGCCAAGACGAGTCAATAGTGCAGAAGGAACAGAAAGAAATGGTTGCAAATGCCCTCAATAAAACCCCTGCGCGAGCACACTTGTACGAGCAAAAGCAAAAAGAGTGATCGGACGAAATCATTGGGCGAGAGTTGTTGGGGTCGATGCGGTTGCGCCATTGATCACAGCTGATTTCCCGTTGCCAATAATGTCTCTGCCGATATTCTTTAGCAGGTCTTCTATCATTATGGATAGCAGAGCAGCGGGCGGGGTCAATGATAATGGGTCGGGCCAATGAGAGGAATGACATTGTCTCCGCCTTCCTCTCTCGCTTTGCGCCGCAAAAATGATGCAGTCGCTGTCTCTACGAGCATGTTTACATTCTCGCGAAGACAGAGAAAGATGTCAGCTGATCGCGGACAGTGCGCTTAAAGCAAGCCGATGTTTCGGGAGTCGTGTAGCGGCAAATGATTTTGTCATAGTCTGAATCTGCAGGGTGGCAAAGTAATAAAAGTTCTCATCCAGGGATAGATATGACCTGACACTGTTTTGACGAAGCTCTTGCACTAGAGTAAACTATATAGGCATCACCGATACACTCGCCTTGATAGCACAGTTCATATGAACGGACCTGAGAAGTGAACTTAAAGTTTAAATCTGCATACAAGAATAGTGCAGTAGAGAAAAGTAAAAATAGCAAACATTGTCACAACACAATTGCACTCGTTTAATTACTTCCCTCTGCATTTAGTTTGCCTAACGGTCGGTTAATGTTTTTCCTTTGTTCGGTTCGATTTGCCACCGGTTTGGTTTGCCTTTCAGCGATCTGATTTGCCTTCGAGTTGTATGTTCTTAATATTCATGTTCTTTTTTGCTGTCGATGGTGCACTTAAGTGCTATTAAATAAATAAATAAATAAATAAATAAATAAATAAAAAAAAGAAACAAAGAAAGTATTGACCTACAAGAACAGCCGAGTTTGCAGTTGATACCAGTTTTTACAGTGGGCGAACAAGGGAACAAGCCATGATGAGCGGGAGCAAATGGCGAACCCACACAAGAGTCTGATTGCTGCTGCACCCAGGGCTCTATGATCCTAGGGAGCACGATTCCTAGGCGCGGACGACGACGTCTGCAAACAACGCTATCTTTTATCACACTAAAATTGCTGAAACTCCACCTCTACACTTCTTCGGTGTCCTGATCACGAATACGGCAGTCGTTTTTGACGCTGACGCCATTTTGCACCGGTACGCGCCAATTCGGTGCCGCCATCTTTCTCACAAAATGGCTTACAGTTCCTATGCGTAGCTCATTTTGTTCTATTCACCATTATGACAGACATCTTGTCGCGCCGTTTCACGCTTGATCCTGTGCGCCCACATTTTTCGCTAGAGTCAAAGAATTTTCGCATTCTAGGGGAATAGCTAATGCCCTCCTAAAGGAAAAGGCATTATTCTTCGCAACCAGTGTAATTAGCGCTCAGCCAAGGACGCGTTTCGGAGAAGGAGTGAATCTCTTGCTGTCAAGCTCAGCGTCTGCAAAGCGCATGTGATCATAGAGCCGTGCATTGGCATAGATGCCTGTGATATCACCATGTGGTTCCATAGAGTCTCAGATAAAACAAATGAGTTTTTGGAGCATTAATAGCGAAATAGTGCCGAAAATTAACTTAGGCCGGCGTAGCGCGTCTCAGTGAAGTGTGTCAGTGCTATCAAATCGAGCCAGCTATTAGTGGGACCAGGCTGAGATAAGAATTGTAAATTTACGCTCAAATATGCCATTTTGGTACTTCATGCTATGATTACGAGATACTATCACCCACCGTGCATATTTAGTTAATCTCTCATGAGCAATTAAAGAAATGAGTGCCCACGAAGGTGG